AGGGAAAGACGTGCGTGTATGAGAAATCTGAATCCCTTGAATTGTGTCAAAATAAGTATTAATTAGGATCAAAATCTGGTTAAATAAGGGAAGAGCTTTAGATTTTATACATGTATGAAACTTTTGTGGCATTTACCATTTACTTTTCAATCCAGGAAAGGGAAACAATGGGTTCCCAAGTTTACCATTTGGGACAGCCTCCCCCCCTCAATCAACATAGAGAATGAAAACTTTCTTAACTTTTTATTATTATGAATAATTTCCAATTAAGAAAATAATAAAATCAATTGGGCCACAGATGCCTGAGCTGCCACAGGCTGAACACTTGCTGCTTGGGCTACACGAATAGTCACCACCCATGCATGCGGGAAAGACTTCCATGAAACGAGTATTAACACTATTTTGCTATCACTAGCCAACAATGTTATAACATGCGTGTCATGCTCAAGAGCCATAATAAATTAAATTGTGAGACCATACAAAACCATTCCTTTTAATGTCATGGGATGGGATGGGAATAAATAGATATGCATAAATGCATATGTTATATCAGATTTGTACAATATTAAAATTATGAAACGGAGCCTAGCAAAATGGGTGCAATTTGCAAGAGAGGTCGCAGAGTGTCTCCCATGAACTTCCTAGCAAATAAAAAGCACATACAAGTGGTTGCATTAATACCATTACAAGTGCAATTGGTGCCAAACCTTATTTGATTCAAAAACTCATATGAAACATCATTCCTCCTAAATCTTCCAGGGTGAGGGCCACTCTTGGACCAATCAACCCAAGTTATGCTTCGATTCGAGTTGTCTTCGACGCCAAGAATGTTGACTAGGGTAGGGATGTAATGTTCATCCATGTAACAAGGAGGATTGCAATGCTCTTTGAATATGGGGTAGTATTTGGTGTCTGATATGATCTCAATTGCAAGCTTTCGACTGGCCTCAAACCACTGGGAGCCTTTGCGCCAATCCGATATGTTAATTGCAGGCCACATTTTGGGATTGTATCTGCCCCGACCAACCTTCCTCGGGTCGTCATATGAACCAATATTGCTCTCACTGGAATTCATGAGGTAGCTGTAAATTGTGGTGAAGTTGAACAATGGGATACAAGACTCGGACAGTAACACAAATCTCTCATTAGAGAAGTCCAAGAGAGCACTTGCTAGTAGGCGTCTCTCACCATCAATCATTGTTGATTTTCCCCATCCAACTTCCTGCAATCATTGGTTTATACATGTGTGTGTGACAAATTATTACATGATTGAAAATTCACCATTTTTATCAACAGAGCTTAGAAGCTACCGAAGTGAAATTAGTGTATTTGTAAGAATTGAGAAACCAACCTTGCTTGGAATTCTCCTTCCATAGAAAACAGAGTTCTGAGGCCATGAATCTACATAGGAAGGATGAGTGTGAACATATATGGTATAAAGTCCTTCATGACCTTTGAAGAACATTTCCCACAATGGGGCCAAGGGTATAGGTCCCTTTGTCAAGAACATGAAGGCAACTCTAGGCACATGGTTAAAAGGAAACTTTCTAATCCTTGGAACCAATGATGCCCTCCAAAGCAACTCATCATCATCATCCATCTTGTGCAACATAAATGCCTCAATTTTAGATGTAACCTCAGTACCCAAGTCTGCTAATGGGAGAGGCGGTGGTGAGCAGGGTTGTGGGAGCAATTGTGATGTTGGAGTTGGCAACAGTGAGGGTGGTTGTGGGAGCAATTGCGATGCTGGAGTTGGCAGCGACAGCGACAGCGGTGACGAAGGGAAAACATTTACAGTGGTTTGTAACTTGAATGGGAAGGTCTTGCAGTATAAACTGACCATGACTCCAAGGCACAAACCAACGAAAAAAAACACAAGCTCAAAGGCATGGCTATACTGCATATAGGAGAGAAAAAGCTTTAGAGATTTTCGGTGTTCATTTCCCATTGCTGAAAGCATTAGAGGATAGGTGAATGGTTAAGCAGAAGATGAAGACTGTAGCTAGCTTAGCTACTAAAGACAATTTAATAATCTAGGACGCTTGGAATGGAAGTTATTTGTTGTTGAAAGAAGACACTTGAAGCGAAAGTTAAGATGGCATGCATGTGTTTTGGTCCGACCTAGGGTCTCTAAAGTCTCGTTGACAATCAACACCGCAGATCTTCAAAGGGTTGACATCTCATGCCCACTCTCCACCAGTTCGAGCATTCGCAAACTTGACAAATAAGTTTAACTAAACGTTACGGCCCAAATGTCACCAAGTTGGCACGAGCTCCTAGATTTGGGGCCAGAATTATTGAAGAAAGTAAGGTATTAGTGATGCTTCCCCTGTTCTTTATTGGATAGAAAAAGTTCACCTTACGCATATTTCATGTTCAGTTTTCTAAACGAATTAGTTTAGCCACTGAATAAGGGGTTAGGTTAGGAAAGGGATCAGCAGTTTGAATGCGCTTTACGTATGATTTGGTTTTACTGTGGTATTAGCTTCGACCAAAGAGACTCAACCAGCAGCGCAAAGGCTTCACAATAGAAAAAAGAAGAGAACGATCCCAAATATTTATAATATGATCAAACTGTATATACAACGCTGGTTTCCACTCTGTTTTCTTCCCCTTTTTTCCCATTCATTTTCACCAGCTCATAGTTTTGTACAAAATGCAGTAGCCTTTTGTCTCTAAACTTTATTGACATGCATCAATACATGATCCAGGTGGTGCTACTTGTTGGTTACCACCATATTCTCAGAATGAAGGTCATCGACTCCATTTACACGTGCTTCACCATATTCTGATAACTTTCTTCAAGAAGATCCTCATCAAAATTCCTTCAAAGAAACTTTGCTGGCTGATGTTCCGAAACGGTACACATAAATGCATCTAGATCTTTCCTTAAGAGAGAAGCTTTTTTCTTAGCTTCTAGGTACTCCTTAAGAGCAAGAGAATGCGAACAGAAGGGGCAGTAGAAGTTACCTTTCTTATAACAAATGAACTCAGAACCAAGACACTTTTCATGATATACCAAAGGGCAATCACTGGTACCGCATATCAACAACTGACCACCTTCATTACACTTCATACAAAGATTTTCCTCTGTCCAATCAATTGTGTCTGAGTAAGCACGATTTAACATGCATTGAGAGGTCAAGAAATCTTGCTTCTTCATGGCAACACCAATCTTCTCATTATTAAACCCATAGCTATCACTTGACTCGAAATCGCAATCCATGGGATCTTTGGCTCGATCAGCACCGGTCTTCTGCTGGGATCCATCTGCAGATGCAGCACGTGCTACTTTAACATGAGAACCATGCTCAGAAACTTTATGCTGGGTTACATCCGGAGGAACAACACCTGATGTTGTTGGTTCAGGACAATGCTCACTATCCTCTTTGCCTTCAGCAGTACAAGGAATTTCTAACTGTCTCTTATGGATTGCAACCTCAGTGCTCTGTCCAGACCTCTTTGAGCTTGTATAATTATCATGATCATCCTCTAAGACCACGCTTTCCTCCAACATTCTCATGCGATATTCTGCCAAAACACACCTTTCACTCTCGAAAACTGGACTATCTCTTTCAGATGAACCATCCATTAGTTCTTTCTGAGGCAAAGAAGTCGGGTTGTGTTCAACAGACTGTGAGACATAAGAGGCATCCAACTTCACCTTCTTGACATTTCTACGCGAATCATCAGAGTCATTTACTCCACCATGGTCTTCATCTGCCAAATTTTCAGAATTTGAGGCAATCATATCCCTCTTGGAAGGCAATACATTTGCATCATTTCCTTCTACGCTCAAGTTTTTAGCATTAGAGCAGCTCCCATTGAACCTTCTCCTCCTAATACTATCACTGACAGGAAGTCTATCATTACCACAGTCCCTGGTAGATGTTAAGCCGCTCTTTTTAATCAAGAAATCAGCATATGGATGTGTACCGTCAAGAATTGAATCTTTGAGCTGGCTCAAAGCACATTTAGGCATAGAAGCTCGTTTGTGCATGATAAAGGGCTGAACATCCCATTTCAACAGCCCAGGGCCACCCATTTTCAAATCAGATTCTGGTGTCTGACAAAACAAATATTTGAACTTTACGCTTAACATTTAAACATACGAACATCCCAGCTACACAATATTTGAACTGAAAATTCAAAATTTTGTTGGGTTTTAAAAACTTACCTCGTTCACGATGCGTTGGAGAACATCGTCGCAACTTTCCGATAAATCAAAGGTGACTTTTGAATGGTGAGTAGAAGTAGAAGTAGAAGTAGAAGGAAGAGGAGCGGGAATATCACCAGGGGGAAAAAAATCCTCCAAACATCTCAAAGCAACCCTTTCGTTTACTTTCGTTTCCAAATCCTCAGGCAAATCCGGAGCCATCTTAATCAAATCATGTAAAAGCGATACCCCAACTTCTTTGAAGCCTGCTAAAGCTTCCAGGAGCCAACCCCACGCAATGGCTGCCTCTCCCTTTGTCATCTCGTCCATGTCAAACCCCGGCACAGTTACAGTTACAGAGACGACGGTCCCTACGAGGAGAAAGAGAAAGGAGAGTGATGGGAGAGTTGTATTTGTTTATAATTTATTTATTTATTTATTTATTTCTGTAATAGAATATGTATGGGCAGATCAGGTCTTTTACTTTTGTGGGCTCGAAGCAGTTGCTTCTTGCTCGGCCCAGGTTTTTGTTGGGCCTTTAGCACACACCCATGTATCCCAAAAAGCCAAAAAATAAAAAATAAGGAGAGACAAAACGAGGCCTAGGCCCTAGAACTTGCCTCATATTTAAAGAAATACAGTCTTAGCCAATTTAGCTAGAGCGAATGTGCTCCCTATTTTGTATTCTAGTTTGAATCCCTTTTTTCGTAGTTTAGATTATATTAAAGTAAATTTGTCGCTTTGTATAAAAAAAAAAACTAAAAAATAAAAAATCTAATGAGGAAAAAAAGAAGTCAAGGAAAAGTTGAAAGCCAATTGTGACAGTCAACCGCACATCAAGTTAAAAGTTCATTCTCAATCAGCTACAAATACCACGGTAAAGTCCCATACTTAGAACTCTTAATCATATTATCAATCTCATACTGTTAATACTCTAAACACAATTAGATAGAACTTCAAGAACTGTGTGGGCAACACTTAATTCATAGACAATCTCAACCCTCAAATTTCATAGCTTGAATGAAATTCACTCGCATCGTTTGACATAAAAAGTGAAAAAAAGGAATCCAACAGTTGTGCAACTACAAACTGTGATTATGAAAGCAAAATGTATAAAATCTACAGCAGGACTGACCTTAGTCGTGGTGAAATACAAGGACAAGTTTTGTGACATCATGATTGAAAAAATAAATCCAAACCTTTTAACACTATAAAAGAAAATCTGGAATGCCTGGTGATTGTGCAGCCACATTCAGGGGCACCTCTGCTCGTTGTCGAGCCTTGTGCTTACTATGGCTATGACTACTTTTTTGCTTCACTTTCTGACCATTTTCTTCTCTTTCATCTCCCTTCTTTCCCGGGCTTTTGTGTCTTCTCCCTTTACCATGCGTATGGTGCTTGCTTTTTCTTAAACTTGGGTTTCCTTGATCATGCTTTTCAATATCACCCAAATTTTCTTTAGATTCTGTAACAGAATCAACATTTAGTTTATCCTTCCCTTTTCTCTGAGTCGATGACTTGGTAGATACTTTACTTTGAGAGGATGTGTGATTGGTGTCACTACCTAAAAGAACATCTCGCACAGTACCAGACAACAAATCTTCCTTCCGATCAGGGTTGGCTGCAATAGGTACTTGATCTCCATCCAATTTCACCACCACAGGCCTAGGCTTTGCATGGTTTGGCTTTTTCTTTGAAAATAGTAATTGCTCAGTAAGCTTAACTAGATCTTCATCGCCATCATTAGTATCAGCCTGTAATTTAAGATCATTGGCGGGTGGATACTCATCTTCATTCTTTGCAGAAGGAAGATAATATAGACCATGCTGCTTACGGTGATCTGCCAGCAGAGATGTGGATTCATTTGATGGTCCTGGCTCTTCTTTACTCTGAAGGATAGGGAGAGAAAAACCAGCCCTGTCCTCATATTGAGGGCTTCCAAGAGAAACTGAATTTAATGAAGGCAGCTGAACATCACCAAAGATTGTTTCCAAGTCTTCAAGATTCTTCGCAAGCACTAATCCATCTGGTACCGGAACTCTTTCTTGAGCACTTACTGATACAGGACCCAGATCATTTGAAAAGGCATCATGCATCAATCTGATGATTTGGGACGCTGGTGCTTCTTCTCTTCCCAAACTTTCTTCCTTCTGGACTAGACAATCAGGCATTTTTCGCTTAATCAACTCAATGAAACAGAGTATATTTCGCGCTCTCTCTAGAATTTCTACATCATAGCTTCCTGTTAGTGGAGCCAGAGCCAATTCAACTCGATTTAAAAGGTTTATGATAGATTCATGTGTGAAACCGTCCCTCAATGAAGAAGATGCAGATACCTGCCCACGAGTAGCAGTTTCCTCCCCACCATGTTCCACAAAAAGACCTTCAAAAGATTGATTTAAAACCCTCGGGTTGAATCCTTCATCCTGTTTGCAATGCACAGGAGAATCACATGATGCCAAGTCAGAACTCTCTGGGTCATCACATTCCGAAACCAATCCTGGAACATCTGGCACCAATTTATCAATATATGAGGAGGAAGCAGCATTCCCCCTCCGCAAAAGGTAAGCATTCAGACAAAAGATTACAACTTTAAAAGCAGACTGTACATAAACTGCCCTTATAAATGGCGGCAAGAGAGTTGTACGAGGCTGTAATAGTGCCTCCATGAGTTCAAATGGGTTTATCGAGAACTCAACATATATCCCTGACAACCAAGCAGCAGCTGATAATATCCTGTGTAAGAAAGGATTACCAAGTAATGCAGGATCAATCAGTAGATCACGACTGACCCGAACAAGCTCTGGTCTAATGTCTTTCACCCTCATACTGATATCAATAAGCTGCTTCTCAATTTCTTCCCCCTTCTGGCAATGTGGAATCCTCGACATTTCTCCCAGAAGCGATACATACCAATCGAAGTCAATAATAATCTCATATACATTACTACCGCATGTTGATAAAATGGAACCAAGAATCTCATTGCAAAACTCGGGGTCAGATTTTAAGGCATAATTTACCAAAACCCTGCAAATTTCGGCCACATTACTCTCAGACAACATTGCCATAACAAGACGCAAGGACTCCAGCTTAATATTTGGATCCACATCACTCAAGGACTTAATCACAACCTCCTTATTCTCCAACACTGCCCACAAGTGCTTTGGGGCAACCACTGAAAGCGCCTGCAATGCGAGATACTTAAGATTCGGATCATCATCAACCAGCATTTCCCGAATCTTCACAACAACAAGCTTCACTGCAGATTCATAATCACTCAAACTGGTCACCACAGTCCTAATACACTCAAACAACAATGATTTGGCCCCTGTCCTCCTGATATGCTCACAAACAGGCTCAACAACTCTATTAGCCAACCTAGGCTCTAAAGGAGCCAATTTTGCAAATATCTTTAACACCTTAATCAAAATCCAATTGTTCCTAGAATCAACCAAGATCTTATAGAACTCAGGCGCCAATGGAAGATACGATCTGGGCTCTCTTAAAGCAAGCCCACAAAACACCCCAACAGCCACAGACACAACCCGCGACTCTGACCTCTCTAAATTTTCAACCACACCAACCAAGATCTTATAGAACTCAGGCGCCAATGGAAGATACGATCTGGGCTCTCTTAAAGCAAGCTCACAAAACACCCCAACAGCCACAGACACAACCCGCGACTCTGAACTCTCTAAATTTTCAACCAAACGCTTGAAGCACACCCTGACAGCATCCGGATATTTTTCAAACACCCTCAAAAGCACACCGATCGCTTTCTTTTTCACAATAACTTTACTACTAGCTAGCAAGGTGAATATCTCGGGGGTCAAATCTCTAGCAAGATCTACGGTAGCAATTCTGGAGAGGCATTCAAGTGCCAAGCTTACCTCGAGCTCGTTGGTGCTGGTGAGGTCCTTGCGGAGCTGGTTGGTGATGAGGACGAGGACGGGCGTGTCGTCGGTGAAGGAGTGGGAGGCGGCGTGGTAGGCAATCTTCTTGTGGGAAAAGCGAGTGGAGGAGAGGAGCTCGACGACGTGGAATGCGGCGAACGACATGTCGTAGAAGTGGAGGGAGGAGAGGTAGGTGAGTTTGTGGAGGGCGTTGGCCTTGGTGTCTGAGTCTGTGGACTTGACCTCGCGGCGGATTTCGTCTATGGCCTTGGAAAGGAAGGCGGACTCGCCGATGAGTTGGAGACGGAGGCCCTTGATCAGGTCCTCCAGTGTGCGCTGGAAGAGGTTTTCCATGAGGGAAGACCCTGCCATGGGTTTTGGATTGGTTTTTGAAGAAGCCAAATTCCAATTCAATGAGAGGAAGATGACGATGGAGAAAATTGGTGTTTTGGTTGGGGTGTTAATGGGTTTGTTTGAATTTCATGGTTAGACTCTGGGAGGAGGATTGGGATTTTGGGAAATTGGGATTGAGATTGAGATTGAGATTGAGATTTGGTAATTGGTGCTGCTATACTCCGGGAGAGAATGTGAGAATTTTACAGAAAAGGTGATGGCTTTGGGCAAACTGTGTTCGAGTGTGTGTGTTTTGTTTATTGGATTGGATCCACTTGAACGTTGTTAAGAAAAATTAAAAACAAGTTAGGAAAATCCAACCCTATATAGTTCAGTTGTGGGAAAAAACGACATCGTTTTGGTGTTGTAGCTACAATTCACTTGAGAAATCATTTTGATGTCCTCCTCCCAGAACACTTTGGTTAATTCGTGAATAAGGCTAAGGAAATTGGGCTGCTGCTGGGGTAGTTTAGGAAAATTGGGCTGCTAAAATGGTCGGAAGGAGAGTTGGGCTTAAAGGATTCCATACTTGGGAAAACATATATATTTGATACAGCTGATCCGGTTTAGTTTGGAGTGGGTGTTTTAATCTATGTTAACTTTTTTGATCAACACAGTGTTTTTCAGTTTTTTGGGGCCTGATTCTATTTCTATTTTACTTTTGTCATATATATTCCCCCTCGTTTGAGAGTGATTGCTGATAGGCCAAAAAAGGCTTTTATAAAAAATTATTTTTTCAAATAATCACTTCGAGTGGTTTTAAGTGAATTTATAAAAAACCACATAAGTGGTGCTTATGCTCATAATCACTTCGTTTGGGATTGATTCTGGAAATACCAGAATCACTTTCACTTAAAATCGCTTAAAATAATTATTTGGAAAAGTAATTCTTCATAGAAGTTCTTTTTTGCTTATTTAAAATTACTCCCAAACGAGACAGAAATTTATTATTATTATTATTGTACATAAATTATTGTCTATTATTATCATTATACACAAAATTTTGTCTATTATGCATGTCTCTTTACCATGGCTACCTGCCATTTGAAAAGACCCCAATTACTAAGGTGAGTTAAAGGTCAATTTAAAGGGAGTGGTTTCACTTTGGGTCACATGATGAGTGGGGTTAAATCAGACCTACTTTCAGCTCCAAGTATACACTCACAGTCAATTAAAAAGCTGGTTTCTGTGCCACAAATGGCTCATCCCATGAGAGAGAGGCACTTCCCCAGAGTACGATTCACTGAGAGGTAGGTTCATGTGCATTCCGAGTCACTTACTCTAGAAGAAAGATAGAGAAAACAGAACAGATAAGTGCTAAAGAGATTTTTCTCCTTCATAAAATAAAAAAAGAAAAAGAAAGAAAGAGATTTATCTCTTCTGCAAACATATCCAAGCAACAGAACAGATAACTGCTAAAGACAAGAGAAGATAAGCAACTTGGGTCAATTCATGACTTAATGGAAGAACTATTAGTTTTTGGACACTAGAGTTTGGTTAAATAGCAGTTATTCATGTACTCTAGGTCTCATGTTCGAATCTCCTTCATAAATATCACTCCTGTAAAACAAAAACAAAAAAACAAAAAATGCCAAAGCAAAGCATGATGGTGGCAAAGGTGGGGAGGGACATGAACTAACTAATTAATTGTAAAGAAAAAGGTTAAAGTTCAAGAGATTCGATAATAGGGGTTGAGAAAGATCTTCTAATGGAAAAGTTTTGTAGTGGAATCGTTTCAATTCATATAATTAAAGAGGCCACCAAAGTCCCCCAAAATCAATCGTATATGGGGTAGATTTTGAAAATTTCCATGTACATTGCTCATCAAACATAGACTTTTTGAGGACTTACAGAGGATAGGCTACCATATCGCAAGTCAGGGCATATCAAGACCTCTGTAAGGACTTACGAGGAGGTAAATATATTTTCTTTTTTCTTTTCTTTTTTCTGTTTTTTTTTTTTGCTTAAGCAAATGGATAAACAAAAGGACACTAGGCTAGCCATGGGACTATAAAAATTAAAATAAATGGGGAAAAAAAGAACAAAATTGCGAAGAAACTAATGATTGAGTGAATATAAATTTGAGCTCAACTTCAAGAATCGTGTCAATTTTCAAAGAAATGCAAATGACGGAGAGAGAAAAGAGGTGCCGAGCCGAAGTCAAGTAGGAATATGTGGTGCTTGTGTGGGCGTGGGCTGGCACGTGCCTACTCAACGACGGCACAATCGGCACGAGCACCCTGTGTGCTTCCTAATTGCCATTAACCTTAATTTCAGTCATCAATGTGTTTCCCTTTCTAGTCAAAATCTCCAACCATCACGAAAACGACTCATTTTATTTTAATATATAAGAGTGTATAATTTGATGAGAAATAAAAAATAATAATAATAATAATAAAGACAGAAATAAAATAAGAGGCACTTTGACTATTTGTTACAAGTTTTGTCTTTTCATCAACTCCTAAAATGGTTAGGAATTTGGGTGTGCAAATTGCAATTTGGTTTTTGAGAGCATTTTTGCTCACCACTTTAACCAATATGTACTCTCACTATTATTCTCAATACTTGATACGTGTCTATTAACATAACTATGGTTCCATAAATACAAGTAAATAGTTAACTATGGTTATGCCAATAGACATATGTCAAGTGTTGAGAATGATGGTAAAAATACACTTTGAGTTAAAGTGGTGAGCAAAATTATTTTCTAATTTTTTTTATTTAAGTTTTGTAAGCAAATTTGGAGTTGATTATTGGGCCATAATTGTTCAAAAGTAGCATAGTTAAATGCAGGATGTATTAATTAATAATAGAGAATGTGAAGGCAATTGGTCCATAGCTTTTCTTTTTTTTCAGGTTGGGGGGCTCAAGCCAACGACCAACCAAGTATTATTTTTCACCAAAAGTCTAGTTGAGTCACCAAACTTTGCCACTAATCTACCAATGCTGTCGAGTCGATCATTCGCAATACCATTATAATAAGAATTTTAGGTACATATAGCAAACACACCCGAAATAGCATATACTTTTTAAGCACTCTTTTAGATTTGATTTATTATCTATCAAAATAGCTGCGATAAATATAGAACAAATCAAGGTAACTAGACTTGCTCCATTTTCTTTAACTCAACTTTCTCACATGATTAATATGAATGTCATGTACATTACGTATAATTATAACATGAGGAGATTAGTAACACCATATTGCAATATAATCGTAATACTAAAGAAATTCGACACATGAATGACTTGTGATATTGTCAAATATGGGTGTAATTCATCTTTGTGAGAGAGTTTGAGAAAAAATTTGGAGAACAAATTAAAATTCTTTTAATTTTTATAGTAAATTGAGCTTATAGCCATAAAATTCATTTTAAATCATCTACAACCCTTTCCTTTAGTTTTTTTTATTTAAAATACCCAATTTTTTCAAATAACACCCGATGACTAGAATCCAACTAAGCAAGTTACCTAATATAACTTAAAATCAGATTTATTGTATTTTTTGGATTCCAAAACTACCCATATTTATAAGTTAATGTGTTATTGGGGGTGTAACTAATGACACCCTTTGAATTTGGAAATATCTCCAAATAGTTGTAATGGATGTAAGAACTAATTTACAAACTTATTTGAAATTAAATATTAAATTCCACATTAAAGTGTTAGTAATCTATTTTACGACTAGTAATCTATTTTTGAATTAATGGTGTTTTCCTTCTATGAATTATGACTAGTAATCTATTTAAAGTATTAATAATTTAAATTTAATATTTATTTTAAGAATTAATGTTGTTTTCGTTTTATGAATTATATGACCAGTATTCTTTTTTATTATAGTTTTATGAATAATAGTGTACATTCTAATTATGTTGAAAAATAATTTGATAATCTATTTATTTTTTTGTTTTTAAAACATTTTTTTTAATGAACCTATTTTTTTCTTTATTTATTGTTTTATGAAAAATTATTTGATCATCTTTTTATTGTTTGTTTTATGAAAACAATTTTTTTATATTAAATGAACCTATTTTTTCTCTCAGAATAATGTACCTATTTTTTTTACGCTAATAATGTACCTAGTAACAATTTACCTAGTATAATGAACCTATTTTTTTCTCTAACAATATACCTATTTTTTTTTTCTCTCAAAATAATATACCTATTTTTTTTCTCTCAAAATAATGTACCTATTTTTCTCTCAAAATAATGTACCTTTTTTTTTTCCTCTAATAATGTACCTAGTAAAACAATTTACCTAGTATAATGAACCTATTTTTTTTCTCTAAATAATGTACCTTTTTTTTCTCTAATAACGTATACCTAGTAAAACAATTTACCTGGTATAATGAACTTATTTTTTTTTCTTCTAAATAATGTACCTATTTTTAATTAATAAAAAATGTGCATAAATTTCAATTATACAACATACCTATTTTCTATAAATTATTAAGTACCTATTTTTAATTTATAAAAATGTACCGAAATTTCAATTACAAAGTAATTGACCTATTTTTGTTAATTTTATTGGTAAATACTATACCTATATTTTTATAAGTATATATTTATATTTATATTTTTCATATGTACATTACTGAATATGTAATTTACATATTTTTTTTATTGGCAATTTTAAGGGGCCATATGTTAGAGGGAATGGCAACCAAAAGAAATGAGGTGATTGATATGCTATTAATAGGGAGTTTTAACTACAATTAGGGCAGTTAATGAAATGCTTAGAATAAATTATAAATAAAATATGAAGTCTGATGGCAAGGATGTAAAAACATAGGAATACTACAACCTCTTATATCCTACTGGTCATTTAAGTTTGAAATTAGGTTTTACATAGATTTATAGAATGATGGGTATATGTCTAGGAAATAGAAATGATAGGGACCTATATTGGACAAGCCCTAATTTTTATACAAATTCACAAGGGAAAAAAAACATAACAAACGAAATACTGACATTAAGTA